GAGAACAGACTGCATTGCTGGGGTAGAAAGAATTACAGGTGGAAACAGGATATCTCAGGCAACCTCCAAGGGGTGGAAAAGACTTTTCCAGGGCTGTAGTTGCAAGACATGTCAGGAGTTCTGAGCCATAGCGAGGAGTGTTAGAATGTGAATGCTACCTTCTAGACTGCACACTTAAATACTCTAGCAATGGGTATAGTAGCATGTGCCTATTTTACTGAGAATACTTAATTAGGCTCCAAAGTGAAATATATTAACCTCTAAAGACCTTTTCATGTATGCAAATGTATAAATGAAAATTTTCATCAATTTTTCAAAGTAGTTGTTTATGAAACACAAATGTCATTTCTCATTCATCCAGTGTGGACAGAATTAAAATCACTGTGATTGTACCTACGAGTATGATACTTTATTCATCCTGTCCTTCAAGAAAAAAAAAATATTTTCAGTCTGAAGAGGACATTCAGATTAAGAACCCGATTAAAAACTGAAAAACATATTGTCAGTATTTATTCTTTTTTCCTAAAACTTGAAGATTTAGGGAAGAAACAAATAAATAACAACCCTAGTTGGCAGAAATGCTAAATGAGTACCTAACACATTTGGAGCTGGTTTTCTTAAGAGTCAAGTAGCCAATTTGCCCTTGTGTGTGGGAATACTTAATAATGAATGGTCCAGGGAGTCCAGCAGTTCAGGCACTGGACTTCCACATGGTCTACTGCAGTTCCAGTCTTGGACCTGGTGGTCTCAAGCACACTGGGTACATATGTGTGCATGCCCAAAACCTATACAGAAAAATGGAGGAGAGGGCATTGTGACTTGGCCCTTCCTTGTCAGGAGTGATTTCTCACTTTCTGTCTCTGTCTGTCTCTGACTCCCTGGCAAGCACACATGCCCTGTAACGAAAATCTCTAAAAGTAAGTAAGTAAGTAAGTAAGTAAAAAGAACAAATGGTCCAATATTTGCAGGGGGTTCAATATTTGCAAGTCCCAATTTGCTTTGAAGATTATATTGTAAAAATACTTAAGGGTTCCTTGCTCTGAAGTTGACTTTCTTCTTGAAAATCAATAATCTTCATTCTCAAAAGCCTTCCATCGCCACAAAATTTAAGTAATTATTTAGTAGTGTTTATGATTGAGAAAAAAATCCCTATTCAAATATGAGACTGTGTTTTCTTTCTTCCTTTCTCCTCAGAAGATGGGATTTTACTACAGAGAATAAAGAAAAGCAGGAAATGAGGAAAATTTCTACCTCATGTGGATGTCACAGAAGGATCAAGGATTTGAAGAATTCTAAGTTACAAATAGCCTTTATAAGTTGAAATATGGGTAAGAGAAAGGTATCAAAACAGATGGAGTATAAAATAGAGAATGCTTTAGGAATATCTGATGGAGTGCATGTATACCAGGGGATTTTCAAAACTTCCTGGGAAAATGGAATTCAGGGATAAGTATATTTTAGTGTAAAAAAATTGAAATCTAGCCATAGTTTTTTCACATGACACACATTTCCTATGAAACTTTTGAAGACTTCTTGTAGATATTTTGTTGGTGGAAGAGTATAAAAAGGATTTTTTTCTGGACTCTCGGATAGAAATTGCCACAGTTAACCACTAATTGATATAGTGCATAGGTGCAGAAAATCCCTAAAATAAACTATAAGAATCAGCACACTTCTTAGAAAAATCCACCTTCAAAACTGATACACTGTAAAATGAACTGACACTCTTTGAAAAATTAGGATTATTGAATGGAAGTTTTAAGGGAAAATTTAGCTAAAAATCTAAAGCAAGTTAATTTTCCAGATAATAGGATTTCTATCTTGAAGGTACTGAAAATATCTAATTAGGATGCTGTAAAAACCATTCCAATCACCCTTTATGAGTCTGACATATTGAGCAGATAAATTGATTTCCTATCATATTTCATTTAAGTAGCACAGATAATCCTTTGTTTCAAAAATAAACAATTCTTATTTATTAGACTTCTTAATTATTTATATCAATAACCATGCTTGTAGGTTCCAAGCCTCCCTGTTTTAGTTATCAATAAAATATTAAACATCAAAATATTCACATAAATATTTAACTCATTTAAATTGAATTTGCCTGCTTGTTTCAATATAAGTTTTTATATAAGCTATTTCTATGGAACATCCTATATGGTAAGATAGTAAGAATTTTGAGCATTATTTTCTAGGAAGAAAGAGAAAAAGAAATAAAAGAAAGAAAGAAAGAAAGAAAGAAAGAAAGAAAGAAAGAAAGAAAGCAAAAGAAAGACCAAGTCAAAGAGAAAGGAAAAAGGAAGGAAAGAAGGAAGGAAGGAGGGAGGAAGGGAGGGAGGGATATTTTGCCTGTAAACTCTTTTGTTTGTTTAGAAGTGAGAAGAAAATGGTTTTCAATGAAATGAACAAATCAAATAGTATAACCACATCAAGATAAACCTTCTCAATCTCTCTTCTTCAAGATATCAAAGCATTCCACTCTTACATAGAGGTAGAATGCAAGTCATAGAATAAGAAATAAAGATCATATTTTGTAATACTTGTCAGAAGCACGAGAAAACAATTTAAGTCAAAGCGATGTATATTGGTTTCTGAGGCAAAGGAAGAATCTCCTTGAGATGGATCCTTTGGCCCAACCCTTCAAGGAAGTTACCTTATAAATTTTAGAATGAGAATATTTTTCAGATTCTGGGAATCCTTGCAATGGAAAACACTGACTCTGATTAGAGATAGAAATACATTTGGGCATTTTCCTATATTTTATGTTTGTGTGTTTTGTTTCTTTGAGTCAACATCTTGTTATGTCATACTCCCTATCCCTGAGCCTCCTCAGTAACTGGGCTTACGTTTTGTTTCTTTGAGTCAACATCTTATTATGTCATACTCCCTATCTATCCCTGAGCCTCCTCAGTAACTGGGCTTACTGTGCCTGTTTCTTAGGATAGGCTAGAAACCAATCCCCGGCCTCTCACATGTCAAACAACAGGGTATGGACTGTACTACTATGGCTGGGTCAATTGCATATTTTCTTTTTATTTTTAATGCTTTTTCAACATCTTAGATTATTATTATTATTATTATTTTAGAGAGAGAGAGAGAGATTGTTCTATAGGGCACATAAACTCACCAGAGAGACTGAGAGAGAAACAGAAAGTGAGAAATCACCTCCCAGGGGTGATGGCCATGCTGCAATCCCTTCTCCTCCATTCTCCTCTCTGCATCTTTGACAAACACACACATGTACCCAATATGAGTTTTAAGCCACCATGTCCAGGACTCAAACTATGGTCAACTACATGAGAGTCCAGCAACACAACCATTACACCATAGGTTGGTCCCTTAGATTAGTAATTTCGAACATTCCAAAATACCATAAAGTAATTTGTAACATTTAACTCATTCTATAGCAAACATACATACAAAAAGACAGAAAAGCTGAGTTGATCTATTATTTGTTTAGTTAGTTAGTTTCTATGAGAAATCTATAGAGAGACAGCACCTCCAACAAAGTCTTAACATTGCAATCTACCTTCCCACCCCCACACTGACCCCGCCTTCGGCCAGGCTCAAATCACAGGTATTTGTCTGGTATACTCAGGAAGATATCTGGCCTTGAACCAGGAACCCTCCCACATGGGATTGCCCTATAGAATGTTGCAGTTTTTTGCCACACTACTATATGATCCCAAAGATTGTCTCTTAATAGTTGTTTACAGGAGCCAGCAGGTGGCATGGTGGTTAAGGTGCTGGACCCCTACATGGATGAGTGCAGTTTGAGTACTGGACCCAGTGGCTTGAAACTCATGCTGGGCACATGTAAGTGTTTGCCCAAAATCCTAAGAGGAGAATGTAGAAGGGATTACAGCATGGCTATCTTCTCTGGGGGTTGGCTTCCCACTTTCCCTCTCTCTGTCTCTCTGGCAAAAGTATATGCCCTATGGCAGGCAAACAAAAAAACAAAAAATCTGCTTATGGATTTGAGCATGTGTGCAGGAAAAAAGACAACTCTCTGTTAAAAATTGTACCAAATCCATTCAAACTGAGGTTTGATTTGAAAAATCCTAATATAGGAAGCAACAGGTGACATAGTCGTTAAGGCTCTGGACTCCCACATGGTCGACTGTGGTTTGAGTTTCAAACCTGATGGCTTAAAACTCATGCTGGACATGTGTACATGCAAGCCCAAAATTCTGAGAGGAGAATAGAGAAGAGATTGCGATGTGGCCATCTCCCTTGGGTGGTGGTTTTTCCCTTTCTTTCTGTGTCTCTGGAGAGAGCACATGCCCTAGAACAACAACAACCAAAAATTAAAAAAAAGAAAAAGAAAGAAAGAAAGAGAGAGAGAGAGAGAGAGAGAGAGAGAGAGAGAGAGAGAGAGAGAGAGAGAGAGAGAGAGAGAGAGAGAGAGAGAGAGAGAGAGAGAGAGAGAGAGAGAGAAAGAAAGAAAGAGAAAAGAAAAAAGAAAAAAAAAAACTCCCTAAAAAATCTTAATATATTTTATGTATCACCATTGCTGTATCTTAATGACACTATTCTGTAAGTTTGCCACTTTGTGCCAGTAACCAATGTGTTTGCCTTTTGTTTGAAATAAATGGCTATGAGTAGATTAGTTAGCAACTTTGCCAGCAGTGGCAATAACTTTGAGGCAGATTGGGAAAGGGATGTCAATTATTTTTAATTAAACCAGCTTCTCTCAGCCCAGACACAGACGACCTCTAAACCAGTTTTCTGAGTGATCTCCATGATGAACTTTGGTTAGGAAAGATGACTAAGACTTTTGAAGATTCAGCACTATTAACCTGAATTTGTAAAACCACACAAATTATGTGTATGTGACAATGACGATCTTTTTCAATCCAATTAAAAATGGCAGGTAACCTGTTTTTATATGCCATGTGAACGACACACCCCATGATAATGGGATATAAATGCCTCAGTCCAGGCAGTACCATTCAAACTCAGAACCAGGTTGTCTTAAGACACATCTCTTTCTCACCATGTCCTACAACTGCTGCTCTGGAAACTTCTCCTCCCGCTCTTTCGGAGGTTACCTGCAATCCCCAACCACTTCCTGTGACTCTTCCTACCCCAGCAACCTGGTCCTCGGCACTAACCTCTGTTCTCCCAGCCCCTGCCAGCTCGGCTCCTCTCTCTACAGTGGCTGCCAGGAGACCTCCTGTGAGCCCACCAGCTGCGAGACGTCCTGTGTGGTCCCCAGTCCCTGCCAGACGTCCTGCTATCGCCAGAGGATCTCTACGCTCTGCAGTCCCTGCCAGACAACCTATGGCTCTTTGGGCTTTAGGTCTAGGAGCTCTCAATTGTTTGGCTGTGGCTCCCCCTCCCTGGGCTTTGGATCTGGTGGTTTCCAGTCCGTGGGTTACGGTCCCAACGCTTTCTCATCCTTAAATTGTGGATCCAACTTTTACCGTCCAACTGTCTTCTCTTCTGGAAGCTGCCAGTCTGCTTTTTACCAACCAGTATGTGGATCTGGCTTCTACAAGTCACACTTTTGAGGAATCAGAAATTTAAACACAATTCTACTATGTTATGATCCTTACTATGTATTGATCTTATAGTTTATCCTTAGTGTAAAAATTTGATTCTTTTTGTTATTCATTGTAGACTAAAACTCATTTGAATTTCAGTAACTAGAAAATGTATTCATTGGAGATAGATGCCAAAGCTCTTCCCATTTACACATGATATTGAAGTATATTTTGTGTTTAATCTATCTCCTAGTTATTTCCCCTCGTAAATATTTTTAAATTTACAAAGTGTAAAATGTTATAAATTTAAATAAAAATATATGACATTACATTTGCATATCTGTTTTAATACTTAATATTTGTTTCCTTTTTGTCTTCAAAACTATTTCTACATATCTGGCTGGGCTTTTATGACTCTAGTATTCATAATTTAAAATAATTCAATGTTAAAGTGTAAAGTTGTCTAATTTCCTCTTTGAATTGAAAGAAATTTCATCTTTTATGTTTATCTATCAAGAACTACACAGACTAAGATGAGCACAGGTTTTCAATTTTTTTTTATATATTTCTTCCTTGAGAGAGACAGGCATCCCCAACTTGGTCCTCACACCTCAATCTACCCTCAGCTTCAACCAGCCTAGTTCAAAGGTATACATGTATACACCTAGTATGGACAGAGAAGCTGTGGGACATGAACTGGGGACCTTTATATGTGAATTCAGTTGCATTACCACTATGCCACTGACTAGTCCTGAGAATATACATTTTTTAAGCGTGTGAATAAGTTGATGATTATGAGCTTTTACTTCATAGGAAGTTAAAACTTCAATATTTTTATATAAGGACCAGCAGGAGGCATGGTAGTTAAACTGCTGGATTAATATATGGTTGACCAAGGTTCGCGTCCTAGACCTCAAGGCTGGAAAATCATGCCAAAAGACTCCCTCTCTTCCTGACTATGTTATTGCCTATATCTGACTATGCAAAAAATAAAGTTTCTTTAAAACAATATTTGTATATAAAATAAAATACAATTTTTGGTGAATATTAAGTTAACTATATCACCTAAGTAACTTCAGATATTTTTAGAGGTTTTTGCCTTAGTGTGCATGTACTCACCATAGAGAGAGATAGAGACTGCAAGAAGGAAAGTGAGAAATCACCCCCAGGGGGAATCACCACCCTGAACTCCATTCTCCTCCTGGGATCTTGGGCATGCACACACCCACACCTGGTGTGATTGTCAAGCCACCAGCTCCAGGACTTGAACCATGATCAGCCATGTGGGAGTCCAGCCATACAACTGCTACACCATCAGCTGGCCCCAGGTAACTCACTTTAAAAGAATTGTTACTTCTATATAATATTTTATTTTAAATTCTCATATATTTAAGATATATGAGAGACTTGATTGAAGACACCCAGTGAAAAGATAGATGTTAGCAAGTTAGATTTACTGAAGGCTCTAGTTCCCTAACTTTAGTTTAAAAATCAAGTCTCTAAATAAAATCTCTAACACAATAACAACATTTATTAACATGTAGGCCAAATATTTTTCACATACTCAGTTCTATAAATTGAATGAAATCCCAATTTGTTCTAATATTCAGTTGTTTGGTTAATAGTATTTGTATATATATATATATATATATATACACACACACACACACACACACATACACACATGCATTAATTACTATTAATGTAATGTATTTATATATTATATATAATTATATATGTAATGTATTTATTATATACAATACAATACATTATCTATTTGTATATTAACATGTATATAATACATGTTAAAAAACAATGCAAATACTCGTGTTACAGGATTCGGTTAAACACGCAGGCAGTTGATAATGTTTGAGTCAGAAATTGTGCTCTGAATGTATCATCTCAGGCAAGGACAACATTATTACATCTACAAATAATTTAGATTCTAACCAACAGGGTAATCATATGTGTTGGCATATTTCTTTTTTTCTTCGGAGCCCCATATAATTTGGCCATTTCCTTGAATTTTTGACTTTTTATTTATAGTCAGTAACTATTTTATTAACAAAGTGATGATTGGCTTAGAAGGCTTCTGCTTTACTACTGTCATAGTTTTGTCTAGTGGAGTATGAGTTGTGCTTACAGCAAACCGGTTTTATTTCATCAGCTTTAAATCTGAAAGAAGACAGGGCATCCCTCTTTTTCCTCATCCTTTTTGAACATAGAACTATTTTTCTTTCAAAGCATGCAGAAGGAGTATTTAAAAGAAAAGGTACAGTCGGATCCAAATGATAGAACTGCCTACATTTCAAATCTTGGTAGGAGGTCATTTGCCTGTTCTAACCTAGACAGAAATAGTCCATTATATCCCACAAGATGTGCAAGTCACCAAGCTACCAGTAGGTGGAGGTGGTGAGAAATTAGAGAATTTCTGGTTAGGTATGCATACAGTATGGACATGAAATTGAGGTTGCTACAGAGCATATCCAGAATAATCTAAATACTCCTGCTTCAGTGGATTGGCCACATACTGTATTGTTTAAATCAATAACTATTTTATTATTTGGTAATGTCGTCTTTAAGTTTTGTGTAAAAAGAAAAGAAAAACTTTTAGGAGAATAAACAAACAGAAAAAAAGTTTATTTTTAAAAGAGAAATAAAAATTGGTTAATTGGCTGGTAGGTGGCATGGTAGTTGGGCACTTGATCTCTCAATGCCAACACCATGATTTGTTTCCTAGACAGGTGGCTTGAATAACGCTCCAGGGCACATGTGTGTGTGTGCCCAAAATCCCAAGAGAAGAATGGAGGAGAAGGGAACGCAGCAAGGTCATTACAATTGGGGGAGTGAGAATCGGTCATTTCTCACTTTCCATCTTTCTGTCTCTGTTTCCTTCTGGCAAGGTCACATGCCCTATGACAAAAATTTTATTATGAAAAAGTTGATTGCTGGGACCAGCAGTTAGCGTAATGGTTATGTCTCTGGGCTCCCACGTAGTCGACCGCGGTTCGCATCCCAGATCTGGTGGCTTACAACTCAAGCCGGACACATGTGCGTGAGTGCCCAAGATCCTGAGAGGAGAATGGAAGAGAAGGGATTGCAGTGTGGCCATCCCCCCTGGGGGGTGATTTCTCGCTTTCTGTCTCTCTGTCTCTCTCTGTCTGTCTGGCAAGCGCACGTGCCTTATAGCAAAAACTTCTCCAGAAAAAAAAAAAAGTTGATTGCTGAATTTCTACTACTAAAACAAATTAATGTGGATACATAAATTCTACAATAATTTTATGACATTCATTATAGAACATCAGGATAGATAATATTATCTATGACATAAAAGAAAAAGACATAATTTTACTGAAGACAAATCAGTATTTACTTCAAAGTTAGTTGAAGTGTCAAGAAAATTGCTTTCAAACATGATTATCATTAAAGTTGCAAAAGATATATTAGCATATTATTCTGATGCATAGATTTTTATTTAGGGCAAATTACTGTTCTAAATATTTACACATGTTAAATTCTAAATTATGTTGTGGATGTATAAAAAAAGTTTAAGAAATAGCCCACGATATGTTCCTCCATTAGCAGAACAAACACATCACTTAAAACCAAGTTCATTTTACATCAGTACTGTCAAATGGTGCAGAGAAAAAAGGAGGGCCAGTCAGTGATGGGGAGGTTAAGTCAGTTGCATCCTATATGATGTACTGCATGATTTGACACTTGAAAAACACACTGGGTGTATATGTGTGCATGCCTAAAATCCTAAGAGGAGAATAGAGAAGAAGGGTCATCCCTCCTGGAGGGTATTTTATTTCCCTCTCTCTGTCACTACAACCTGTGCTGCAGAGCAAATTATTTTTCTTTTCTTTTCTTTTTTTTTTCTTTTTCTTCTTTTTTTTTTTTTTTTTTTTTTTTTTTTTTTAGGGCACATGCACTTGTCAGAAAGACAGAAAACAGAGAGACAGAAAGTGAGAAATCAATCCCCGGGGGAATGGCCACACTGCAATCCCTTCTCTTCCATTCTCTCGGGATCTTGGGCACGCAAGCACATGTGCCCGGTGTGAGTTTAAGCCACCAGGTCTGGGATTTGAACTGTGGTCAACTATATGGGAGTCCAGTGACATAACTATTACACCAATTGCTGATCCCAAATTTCTTAAAAATTTAATAAATTTCAATAATTGTTTGTTTTCTTCTTATAATCCATAGAGTCCAATAAAGCTAAGGGAATTCCATAATGCTCTTTTAAACAAATGCCTTTTTTAATTTTAGTTTTTAATTACTTAATTATTACTATTTTTAATGAGAGAGACAGAAAACATAAGAGAGAGAGAGATTTTTGATGGGATTTTGTTACGCTGAGATTCTTCCTGCCCCAGCCTCCCAGTTAGCTGACACAGGCACACAACCTGTTCCAGTGAGGCTAGGAAGCACCTCTTGTCCAACACATAGTGGCACCCCCCCCCCCCCCCCCCCCCACTTATACCACCGTAGTTGGGTCCAAATGCTCCTTTTGTTAATGCTAATGTAAAGTCATTATCAATTTCAACATTAAAAATAACGTTATTTATTGTCTAAGTAATAACAAAAAGTATAAATTTTGGTGAAGGACAACATCATGTTAAAGATGATAAAGTAATAATCTTGTAGTAAAGAAATGTACATTTATAATTGTGTTAAACACGTAACTCACTATTGTATTATGTATGTTTTACCATGATTTCTTTTTAAGTTTTTATTTATTTCCTTCATGAGTGAAAAACAAACAGATACAGGCACCCTAAATAGGGTGATCATGATGCAATCCATCTTTAAATTTCTGCTAGCCAGCATCAAAAGTATGGAGTATGCTAGGATCAAAATTCAGGACTTCTCCCATGTGGCTCTGATTGCACTACCACTGTTCTATGACTTGGCCCCTTTGTCCATTATTGTGTTGCTAAATCAAAATCCTTGAGGCTGGAGAATGCAATAAGAATAAACTACTTTGGTTCCTGATTCTGGTGGCTGATTTGTCCAAAGGCTTGCAGTACCATCTTATCAGCACATGTACAAAAAATATTTAAGTGACCTGTAGGTCACTTATTTCTTATAACAACCTATAAGAAACTTAAATGTGAAAACAAACTCATTCTCCTAAGAGCACGAACTCACTTCCTCCCACAAAATGGCATTAATCTATCCATGATTGCGAGACTTGCATGACCCAGACATGACCCAATAGGTCCTACTTCCTGGGGTCACAGCCTCTCAATACCATTACATTAGCACATTACATTAGTCCAAGCTTCCGGCATATGAACTTTTTGGGGATAAAGCCTATGCGAATCGTAGCACTATCCAGACAAGCTACAACATCCCTCCAATCAAAGTGAAAGGTATAATTTTAAAAACTTGTAAATATTTGGTATATATCCCAAGTATATTCCAAGTTATATTGGCAACCAATGTTTTTCCTTATCTCATCAATTATTGTTTCCCCTGCAGCCATACTACTCTCTGTGCCCCTATTTTATTGATTATTAAGTCATTAATTAGTGTGATTTTATTTAGCAAACCATGTGCAAAAGTTTTTCTTCTATTTCTGGCTTGAGGTATATAGTCAATGATATATTATCAATTTTTTTCCACATAACATACTCTACTACTTCTGCATGCTGTAGTACTACTTTACTCAAGGACTGTTCCATGAGTTTACCTGGATTGACTTCACTTTTTATTTTTTAATCTAACTGACCAAAATGGGACTATTGCTTAAACTATTAGTGAGATGTCACCAAGGCAGTTTTACTCTTCTTATTCATATTGTTAATAGTTGACATCATCTATAATCTTCCATCTGAATAAACTAGGTGAAACTGATCATGACAATTAAAATGAACCATTAAAAATTTGTCATAGCACTCAGGATTCCTTGGAATTTCTTCCTGAGATGCCATCAAATACTTCTCTATCAGTCTATTATTTGGTAAAATAGTTAATATAAGTTAAAAATGCATTAGTTGTCTTCCTTAGATTTCTTCACCTAAATTCTAGCTTTATTTTTATTTTCACTCTTTATTATGGATACTACTCATGAGGCTACTGAAATAGATCCAAAAGTAGACTAAGTTTATTAAGATGAAATAATTACTGTAACTTGAAACAGTAAAGACTCTTTGATTAGACCAGGAGATATATATCTTTTGTTAAAATTCAATAAAGAGGGACCAGCAGTTAGCGTAATGGCTATATCGTTAGACTCCCATGTAGTCGACTGTGGTTCGAATCCTGGACCTGGCAGCTTAAACTCACGCTGGGCACGTGTGCGTGCATGCCCAAGATCCCAAGAGGAGAATGGAGGAGAAGGGATTGCAGCGTGGCCATCCCAGGGGGGAGGATTTCTCACTTTCTATCTTTCTGTCTTTCTCTGTCTTTCTGGCAAGCACATGTGCCCTATAGCAGAAACCTCTCCAAAAAAAAGAAAAGAAAAAATTCAGTAAAGAACAACAGTCCTCCAAATCTTTGACCTATAAATTTTAGCAAGCGTTCTTTTTTGAGTCTTCATTCTCTCATATCTAAAACCCTTTATAGTATGTGTTTGTTTCTTTGTTTCATAGGAATGCTGAGTTTAAATGAATGGAACATCTGATATCCATTTGAGAACCCTCACGCAGCATACTCTCACCTAATCCCAGGCACAGTTACAGCAAACAATTTCATAAAGACTCCAATGGCTTTTGCATTAGTAGTATGTTCCTTCAAGGATATGCAACACTTTTTTTATTCTGTATTTTGGCTTTTCCAAAGTTACAAACCATGAAAACAGAAGGAATCAGCAGTGATTTTTTCCTTTGCAAAATTATGTGGTTCCAGAAAATTAAACATCTTGAACATTGTTTAACCAATGGGAGATAAAAACCAAAGAATAAATGCTTCCTCCTGTTAATCAGCTCCTGTTAAAAGTCCCTGCAGGATTGCACTGAAGTTTCCTATTAGAAAATCAACTAAAAAGTGTATGTAGCCTTTTATGAGATTCTCCTCTTCATTTCTTTCATGTTTCATGATCTGTCATGCATGCGTTCTGGGATCTTGTACCAAAAAATTATCAGTCGCCCAGCCATTGACTTCAGTTCTGCTTCCTGGGAGAAGGGGATCCAGACTAAGGTTAATAGATATAAATATTTGTTCAACAGTGCAGGTGTGTTGTTCTCCATTTACTTGAAGCTGAGCCTTGTAAAAGCATCAGGAGAGTACCCACACTTTCTGAACCCAGTTACTCCCAGCTAAAATCTTTGTAATTCTTTTCATATTTGTAGATAATATTGAGGAATACTCTTCCTGCAGGAGGCTGGGGTCTTGTGTTTATGACAGCAAAGAAAGAGCGAAGTATCTGCCCTGGGACTTGCTAAAAACTCATGTTTCTTTCGGATGAAAATATACAGATACTATCGAATGTTAGTTAAGGTTTTGTTAAAATACACAGCTCACTTTAAAAATTGTATCATATTCTTACTATTTGTATATCTAGTCTATGTACCAATTTATTTGTTTTCCAGTATCAACAGAAATACATGCCCTTAGTCTCAGATGATTCTGTTTGTGAAATAAGTTGTCATATGCAAATTATGCTCTTCCAAGAAGTGACTACTCCCCATAGGGGACATACCCAATGTCAACAGAAATGTACTCAAACCTATGAAATTATATGTACTCCAAACCCAGTTAGTCATATACTCATATTAGTCTTTACTTGAATTTCTCATATCCTTGAATACAAAAGCTATAAGAAAAAAATAATAACAGCAGTAATAATGTGGGTTCCAGATTACATTAATTTATTGCATCAAAATGTTCAACTGTTCTTGGAAACAAATCAAACAAGCTTATATTTTATCAATAGTATAGCCATTAGATCTTAATTTTGAATTACTTATTAAATAAAGAGCCTGCAGAGGTTGCTAATGGAGGAACCAGTGATAGAAGAATAACAGGTAAGTGGTAACTGAGAAGAATGGAAATGATGACTGCACAGTGTAGAGACTCTGATATGACCTCAATACTCAAAAGAATTGAGAGTTTAGAGACTAAATTAATAGAATGGAGAACCAAAGGTTGGTCTATCACATGAAGACTAGCAGGTCCTAGAAGGCAAGTAGAATCTGGATCTATAATTCAGGGAAGGGAAACCACAGACTCTGTAATCTAGGGATCTGAAGTCACTGGATCCATAGGTTGGTGAGTAGCAGCTTCTAGATCCATATCCCAGGGAGTAGCAGCTGCTGGACCCAAAGCCCAGATACCCACTGTAGGGCAGGTAGCAGGGACTACGGATCCCCAAGTTCCTCAATCTGTAGCAGGACGTTTGGCAGGGGCTGGACACCACATAGGATGACTGGCAGCTGGTGGGCTCACAGCAGATCTCCTGGCAGCCTCTGTAGAGAGAGGAGCCCACCTGGCAGGTCCTGGGAGAACAGAGGCCAGTGCTGTAGACCAGGTTGCTCGGGTGTGAAGAAGCACCAGAGGAGCACAGGTAGCCCCCAAAGGAGCGGGAGGAGTCATTTCCAGAGCAGCAGTTGTAGGGCATGTTGATAAGAGACATGGGTTCAGCTGAGTGTAACTAAAATTCTGAGATTCAATGTCCCCTCTGGATAGAGCACTTATATACTCTCAACCACAGGTGTGGTGCCCAGCATAGGTATGTGTAACTCAGTACTCACTCTATAATTGCAGTTACATTCAAATATTTTTCCGCATATTGTATTTATGAGTTCCATAATTTTGTTGAGAAAGACAAAGCCAATGAACTACTCCTATATCAGAAATGCTATGACTATTTTACATTAATACTCATTCCTCACGGCAAAGGAAGCCCTTCCTTTCTGTCTGCTATATGTTATTGCCTCTGCTTCTTGCATGTCCACATCTGACTTGGCTGGTAGATGCTTTCTTCCCAAAAATAACATTTGTTTTCCTGAGGATTAACCTGGATCAATGAATCCATTTCGACCTGGATGGGAACATTCATGAAAATGATCCACCTCCTTCATTCTCGTTCTCCAAAATTATATTGTGGTAATTTATTATGCAGTCATAGAAAACTAATCAAGTGCCACAGTTACACAGTATGAGAAGAAATGGCAAAAACAGATAAAACAAAGAGATGGAGAGAGAGAACCAGAAAATGAAAGAAACCTTGCCGTGTATTTAAAGACAAGGTGACAAAGAATGGCTCCATTGACACAAGTCCCAGAGAAGACCAACCTGGGCTCATCTTTCGATTCCCATGGAACCAAACATTTGTCTGCGGAGGAGGCAATTCAAAGAGGAACAGAGAAGGCTAAGGAATTTTGACTTCTTTTTTCTGTTGCACTCAAACTGTGTTTGATCTTATTGTAATGTTTCTATAATCAAAACTTTTCAAAGTTAGCGTATGTTGCAATACGGTCTTTTCATCACCCATGTTCTTAATTATACAAGTCTTTCAGTGTTTCAGAATGTCTCTAGCTCTCCACACCAGAGTTGTTCAGTGTTTCTCTATACTATACTGGACGTTTTCCTGCCTAAAGGTGAAATTTCTTCCTTTCTATTTTCTCTTCCTGTACAGGGCATATGAATATTTTTCTCTCATTTTCTCCTCCCCAGTTGTCTGTATTTTTTTTTAATTTTCTCTTTTTTTCTTCTTTTATTTATGTTTCACTTGTTTATTTTGTTTGCCACCAGTGAACTATAGATATAAAGTTAAGGAAAAAGAAGTTGATAGACATCATAGTTTTGAAATATAACTATCTACTAAGTTCATTCATAAAACATTTTATATTGAGATATCACTAGTGGAACTAGTAGATGGTGTAATGGTTATGTCGTTGGACTCCCATGTAGTCAACAATGGTTTGAATCCTGAATCAAATGGATGAAACCTTACTTTGGGCAAGTGTGAGTGTTTGTTCAAGATCCCAAGAGAATGGAAAAGGGATTGTGGTGTGGCCATCCCCCCTGGAGGGATAATTTCTCACTTTCTGTCATTCTGTATTTCCAGAGAGCACAAACACCCTAAAGCAAAAATCTCTCTAAAAATAAAAGAGAAATATCACTAATTACACTATATTCAGGACCAAAGAAAGTGTACATCTTTTTTTTTTTTTCACTATAGGGCGCATGCGCTCGCCAGACAGACAGAGAGAAACATAGAGACAGAAAGCGAGATGTCACCCCCAAGGGGGGATGGTCACGCCACAATCCCTTCTCCTCCATTCTCCTCTTGGGATCTTGGGCATGCACGCACACACGCCAGGCGTGAGTTTTAAGCCACCGGGTCCGGGATGCGAACTGCGGTCGACTACGTAGGAGTCCAGCGACATAGCCATTACGCTAACTGCTGGTTCCTGAAAGTGTACATCATTGTGGATGGCAGTATTTTATTTTATTTTCTAATGCTAAAAACTTATAAGAATAATGTTAAAAATATCAAATTTTCTCAATTAAAAATGTATAGTTATGCCAGGTGGCATGGTAGCTGAGGTGCTGGACTCCCACATGGCCAATCATAGTTCATGTCCCAGACTCGGTAGGCTGCTTTCTCACTTTCTCTCTCTCTCTGTCTCCATATGGTGAGTTCCCATGCTGTATAGAAACTTTTAAAATAATAATGATAAATAAAATTAAACAAATAATTATTTTAAGAAAAAAGTGTTTGGCAAGGGTTAGCCCATGGCCTGTTGGTTAAGGCAGCTGGATTCTAAATGCTTGATCACTCATTTCAAGTCCTGGACCCAGCAGCTTGAAAAATATGCTGGGTGCAGGCTCAAAGTCCTAAAAGGAAGGAGAAATGGAAAAGAAGGGATTATGGTGTAAACATTTCCCATGAGGGTTACTTCTTCTCTGTCCTTTCTATGGTGAGCACATGTGTTCTCGGGCAAGATTTAAACTACTGTATGGCAATACTAAAAATAACATAATGGAGACCTTCTAGAAAAACAAGGAATGAAGAAAGAAGTAGATACACCCATTTCAAATAGCTACTTGGTGAGTCCTTAATTTTCTGTTCTTCAGTACCAGACTTGATACTTTTTCCTTTAGCGCCTCATCAAGTAGGCTCAGTGTCTACCAATGTGTTATTGTGACAGCATTCTATCTTTGTGTTTTGTTTGTTCATTTCAAACATAACTCTTTAAAATAATATCAAAGACAGGGACCAGCAGGTGGCACGGTGGTTAAGGCACTAGACTACCACATGGCTGTTCAAGTCCCAGACCTGGTGGCTTGCTTTCTCACGTTCCCTCTCTCCTTTTCTGTGTGTCTCTCTCTCATCAAATTTAAATAAATGAATTAATAAATAAAATCAAATAATAATAAAAAATGATATCAAAAACAACGCTTGAGTTCACTGAAGAACATCAATATATCAGGGAAAGCTAAGAAATGTAGTGACTTGGTCTTTAGTTACTCCAGCCTCCCTGTTTAAAAATCCTTTAAAAAATCCTTTTCTGAACCTGTTAATGTGAACAGAGGTATTTTTTTCTTTCCCTTTGCCTCTAAATTGATAAATTCTGAATCTTACTAAGTTGATAGAAGTTTAAGAAGAATTTGTAAACAGCCCAAATTTTAAATGAATTAAGCTCAAAAATTATATAATTTGTTTTGTATTATACAGACCCCAACTTTTTTATGTATCAACCATTAAAAACTGATATTTCACATAATACCTGTGACCTGGAACTGTTCATTAGACATTTATGACCTTTTGATTACAGATTTCTATCACTGGAGTATGGATAATTTTTTATGAGATTTATTTCCAATAGAATTTCATCCATAGTTGAAAATTACAACTTTTGGGGCCAGCACATGGCATGGTGGTTGAGGCAGCTGGACTCCAACATGGCTGACCACAGTTCAAGTCCCAGACCTGGCACCTTGATTTCTCACTTTTTTTCTTTCTTTCTGTTTCTCTCTCTGGTCAACTTAAAAAAGAAAAAAAGAAAAAAAGAAAAAAAAAGATAATGATAATGAATAAAATTAAATAAAAATGATTCTTTTAAAAAAAGAAAATTATAACTTTTGGCACACGACTTTTCCTCTTTTCAAAATTATCCATTCACTTTTCATTAATACAGTGGGGATCTTATTTTTGTTAATCATCTAGGTTAGAAACTTGATAAACAAAACCAACATTATATTTCATAAATATTCTTGTGGCTAGCAGGTGACATGGTAGTTAAGGCATTAGACTCTTACATGGCAGGTCACAGTTTGAGTTCTAGGCCTGGCAGCTTGAAAATCACGATATGGGCATGTGTATGTGTGCCCCAAATACCAAGAGCTAACGGGAGGAGAAGGGACTGTGTCATGGCCACACATCAGGTGGTGATTTCTCACTTTCCTTCTCTTTGTCTCTCTGTCTCTCTCCAAGATACACATACCTTATGGTGAAAATAACAATAATAATAATAAATTATATTGTATTGCTATGTATTACTAATTATTAACTACAAATTATGTTCTTTATAATTATTCAACATAAATTAGAGGGCTTTTGGATCCTGTATTATCAAATATACATTTGTTAGAGAAAGACTTAATGGCTGCTCTTTCTTAAATGTGCTACATGCAATATATATGCATATTTCTCCTTGTAATATATTTTTGGAATTTTTCCCATGGATCTTTTTTAATAAATTTCTAATAAAATTTTATAAGAGAAAGAAACACTGGCAGTTTCCCTCCCCCCAAAAAAATTAATGAGGCATTCACGTATGCATTTATCTATAAATTTTCCTGAAATATTGGCTCAAAGCACGAAATCAAATGCAAGCTTTATTTTGGAATTGATTTCACTAACTACCTATAGGTAGTAGAAAAAAGTGACAGGGAATGGAAGGAAGTCAATACAGGGTACATTATTTAGGCAGAAACCACAGTAGGTACCTGGAGCTCTATTCCAGCAGTAAATTCCCTGCCCCGTGGTCAGTATGCCCTATGAAATAAAAAGAGCCTTATGCAGAGTAAGTGAGTATGGTATAAAAATTGCAGACAGTTACAAAGGCAGGCTGGATTCCCACTACTGCAGTATTTGAACTTCCTAAATTCTGATAGGGTCATCTATGTTCATTTAAACTATCATTAATGACTTTTAGATGACATTCTTGTTGTAGCTACTCACTTACTTGAATCACTCCTCTATATTTTGAAAGAAAAAAATAATTAAAAGTAACATAAAGTTAGCAATTTTACATTGCTTAAAATATTGAGCTTTTTCTCCCATTGAGAATAGAAAAGCTAGAGGGACTAGAAACTTCAGGGAAATACCAAAGCATTGCAGAACACAGAGATACCATGTGAACTAGAACTGAAGTCAAGAGAAATTGGGACCAGATGGTGTCTCAGTGGTAAAATGCTTTGCTCTGCAAGGCAGATCCATGTGGGAAGATTACCAGTTTGCATCCATAGACCACCTGAGTAGACCAGACCGCGTGTGTCCATGATGTGGGCTGGCTTAGGCTAACATATGACCGGCTGGCAGGGGCTAAGTAAGGATGGACCATGGCACTGGACATTGTCTGGGGTGTTCCTTCTCTGTCTCTTTATATCTCTGTCTTTAACACTCATGGAATAAATAATGGAATTAAAGAGAGAGAGAGAGAAACCTATACCCAAAGGTATAGGTTTTGATTGATAATAATAATGCTGATTTTGAAAATGGTGATTTAGAGGCTAACACAATTCCCATAAACTCACAGGGCTAAAGAAATAAAATTTGAATTCAAGGCCTGTCAAAGATTTAGGGCACTGAGAAATATCACAGACCTTGAAAAGCCCATTCTCTGAAGTAAAATCAAATTGCTAATTGGCAGCTTTTTATAAGGAATGAAGCCCAGGTTTGAATGATCTCAATCCATGATTAGATCAAATGATCTAGAATGCGGGCATCCTGATTCTAACAGCTTGCCAGAAACATAAGTAAGTGTTTCCTGGAAAAAGGTGAAATTACTAAGTATTTTCCATAAAAATATCTATTATTCTCTCAAAACATAGAATATGAGAAGATAAGACTGAAACACAAAACAATACCAGAAAATATAATTTGAATCACAGGATCCACATAGTGCACCAATTGCAATCAGACATTAAAATACCTATGTGAAGAATTTAACAAGACTTAAGAAGCTATTATTATCAAGCAATAATTACATTTAAAAAATAGATTGAGAACCTGGACAGAAAATTAAAAATCATCCAATAGAACCTAATCAAAGTTTTGTAAATTTATAATACAGTAAATGATTTGAAAAACTTAATAGATGATTTTAACAGAAAATTAAACATAGCTGCACAGACAATTAGTGAGTTGGAACATAGGACAAAGAAAATTCACAAACTAAAGCACAAAGAAACAAAGATAATAGAAATAAGAAAAGAGTATAAGAAGCATATAGAACCTAGACATTTAGAAGAAAAACAGAGAGGCAAAGCATTAATGGGACAAAGGAATGTGTTATTATCTGTTGAAGATATTTTACAATTTTATCAACTGGACTAGGGAGAAATGTTCACTTGTTGAAATATTCACTTTGTAAACTAAATAATGTGATTGAATGATAAAAGAAAATGAAATTTAAAAAATGTCAATGAAAAATCAAAGTGATCCTGACTTATAAGTGGATTCTAAACAAAAGAGAGAGAGAAGACTAGGACAGGAATAATACCTGAAGAAAGTATTATTGGGAATGTATCAGTGTTGATGAAAGGCATTGACTCACATGTGAGTTAGTAATGAGGACAACGATATGGAAAACTAAGGTGGAGATGGTTGAAAGACTGGCTTTAGGAGACATTATCCAGAGTCTGTAACGGGTGTGCCAAAGCTAAATATCCAAGTTTGTTGTTGATGGTATTGCTAAATCATTGAATAACTGAAATAATTTTCTTTTAGTATACATTAGTTGGCATGCTTCAGATAAACATCCTATCTGATTTTTTTGTTATCCATCAACCAATAAGTTTACTTGTAAAAAATACACAAGTAAGATTTAATATATTCAGACTGCCTGCATTTTTTCTGTTCAGAATCTCCCCTTAGAAAAAGGTAGGGAGTTGTCAGACTACGATGTGCATCTGACACAAATGAAGGAGAGAAAGAAAGAATACATGAGATCTATGCAGAAAAGGACTATTTGCTTAAGGCCACTGAAAAACCCTAAGGACAAGGGGGCTAAAAGGAGGCCTGTGTCTTCTAGGATTCTCTGTGTCCACTGAACTCAGTCATGCCCATGGGAGGCAAGGCTTCTGCACAAAGGCAGTGTTAAATTTTGGATAAGAGCAAGCAAGATTATTGGTAAATTATATCTCTTGGAGCTTTAGATCTAAGAATTAAAACTTTCAGGTGGCTCTATGTACAGAAGAGACACTGTTAGGACCACAAAACTCAAATTGAATTAAAAACTGTTTCTTTCTTTCATCTCAAAAGTGTTTGCTACTTTGATTCTCGCGGTAAGGGCCCAAATTGGTTCCCACTTGTGACGCTCAGTTCTGTCTTTACTATCTCCATGTTTCCAAATAGTTACTTGTTCAGATTTTCCTACAGTCTTAGTCGTCAATGTTCAATTGGTCTTGGCTCATATTTTGCCCTTTCCACTCCTGAGAAACAGTAGATGAGAGTATGTAACAAAAAAACAAACAAACTAAAAGTACTTTTAGAGAATGAGAAAGGATGATGACAGATAAAGTTGGTCATTAGTAGATCCCTCATTAGAGTCCCAGTTATGTCTCTGATTCATTGGGGGAGGGGAGTGTGGTAGTTATATCTCAGTTCTCACCATTCAGAGAACAGTATTTGCCTATAATAATCAAGAACAAGATACATGAAAATTTAGAGAAGAGGAAAAGAAAGGTTTTCCTAGACATGATGGAGCAAGCATGAACATAAAACAGTCATAGCATTTCTGACGTAGGAGTATTGCTGTAACATCACAGTTATAGCACTCATAAATTTGAGATGCGGAAAACTACGGAAATGCCATAACAGAGAAGATTATAGAGTTGCACATACGCAAATGAGGAGCACAAATACATATCGGGTGACTTGCTGGGCACCACACCTGTTACTGAGAGTATATAAGTGCTCTCTCCAGAGGGAACATTGAATCTCAGAATCTTCGCAGTTACACTCAACTGAACTCACAACTCCTGCCAACATGCCCTACAACTGCTGCTCTGTAAACTACTCCTCTCGCTCTACTGGGGGGTACCTGCGCTCCTCCAATGGTTCTTCGCACCCCAGCAACCTGGTCTACAGTGCTGGCTTCTGCTCTCCCAGCACCTGCCAGCTGGGCTCCTCTCTCTACAGAGGCTGCCGGGAGAACTGCTGCGAGCCCACCTGTTGCCAGTCATCCTGTGTGGTGTGGAACCCTTACAAGACGTCCTGCTATCGCCTGAAGAACTTGGGGTTCTATAGTCCCTGCCAGGCCACCTACACTGGATCTCTGGGCTACGGATCAAGGAGCTGCTACTCCCTGGGGTGTGGAACCAACTGCTTTCGATCCCTGGGCCATGGAGCCAGTAGCTTCCCTTCTCTGAGTTATGGATGTGGTCTCTGTCACCCCACCTACTTTCCTTCTAGGAGTTTCTATTCACCTCGGCCATTCTGGAGATCTGGCTTCTGCTACTAATTTGTTAACTGTCCAAACCCTTTGAGAAATGTGGATTCTGTAATGAGATTATATATTAATTTCCTCCATTGAGAAATATCCTAATGTTCATGATTACCAACTATTTTCTCCCCAACCCTCAAATAATAGCTGATATATTGATTCTGTCAAACTATGCAATTAGTTAATAATCTAAATTGTCAATAGAATTTATAGTTATTTTTATTTCTCCAAAAATTATATGGAAAATTGAATAATTCTATTTTAATAAACCCTTTCTTCTGCTTCCCATATATGCTGTTAATATTGTCATTTATGAATAATGTATTGACTAAAATATTTGTTGTCACTTCTCCTTATAATGAGCTTTGAAATGCTCATATTGTGCGGGCTACACACTAATTTTGGTTGGGGTTTAGATATATTTCTCATCTTAATCCAAAATTTCCTGGATACTCATAGTTTTCAGGTACATACAAAATTTAAACTTACATGATGATGCCTATGTAGGAAAGACATTACAATAAAATATAGAAATATGTGTATAAATGTTTAGAAAAAGAGCACCTAGGAACTTTTAGGTAGTCAAAGTAGGAGCATCGTTTATTTTAAAATGCCTGTACCCAATTGCTATTTCAAACTATTCAGATCATTTTCATTTGTATAAAAAGTCAGGCAATACATTTATATAGGAAGGAACTAGGCTTAGCTGGTACGAACTTACATCTGGATTCTTTGTCAACATATAAACTGAATCTAATTGAAACTACCAGAACCTTTACTGTCATCAAAAATGACTGTTTCAATTGTATCTGAAAATAAAATTAATACTCTGCACTTTAGTTCTTATATCCAAGTGTTATTTAAAATAAGGTACTAAGACCGTATGATGATAAGACATAATATTTATTTACGTAGAATAAGCAATGTTTAAATATTTTTCTATTCTTTATTTTACAAGATCTGGAAACATATTCTGAAATTCAAAATGGAAGGCAGAGTTTTAGACATTTGGCAAATAAACCTAGTGTTAAAAGTATACCACCGTCATCTCATCATGTCCCCTTCACTTCCTCTTTTACTACTTATGTAATAAAATATAATCTGTAAATGAGCTGTAGAATTTATCAAATTCAACATACTGATCTACAGAGGTAGAAATTGAAACAGAAGAGTTAGATGGAACTTTAAAGTATTGCACATAGAGAGTCATTGTACAGATATGAGTAGAACTACTCTATCCAATTTATTTTACTGGATCTATCCAACTGTGACACTTTATCTTTTTCCTTTCATTAACTCCTTTTCTTCTTCCTTACTTCCTTTCTTCTTCCCCACCAGGAAACAGTCCCAGTGCTTATATAGTTTGAAGAACAAAACGAGGGAATAAGAAAAGGATATTTTGGGGAAAAAATCATTGGCAATCATGTTATAAAAATTAAACCAGGGCCAGCCAGTGGTGTGGTAGTTAAAGTATAGCTGGATCCTATATAATCAACTGTATGGTTCAAGTTCTGGACCTGGTGGCTTGACAAACTTGCTGGGCACATGCGCACATGTGCCCAAAATCCTAAAAATAGAAACGGAGAAGGGATTTCAGTGTGACCATTCTCCATAAAGGGATCCTTTCCCATTCCCTCCCACATCTCTCTCTGGTAAGCACATGTGCACTCCAACAAATTTATATATATATAAAGAAAATAAATAAAGCTAGCAAATAGTCAATGGCTCTATAAACTCATTTCTTCTTGTAACTTCACTGATTTTTTTTGAATGATCCAATTAGTCTCACACTCATAATCTTTGCCCAAGAGGAATGATCAAGCTTTACACCCTAAAACATAGACAATGGCAGGGCTTTCATAAGAAGCAGCTGTGGTTTCCTGGGCGGCTGAAGGCTCTTCTGTAACTGTCTCTAGATTTCAGAGACAGGAGTGGCTTTCTGGCTTTCAGGAACACACTAGCGTCTTAGTTTCTTATTGCTGTTATAACAGTAAGATCAAATTGAGTAGCTTAAGCAAAACAAATTTACCATGTTACGCTTCTGTAGGTAAAAATTTAACAAACTAGAAGCAAGATGCTACAGAGCCACATTTCTTTCCAGACGTTCTAAGGGAGATTCTCTTTCCTTTTACAGCTTCTCCTGGCCACCTGCATTTCTTTTCTTGTTTCAATACTCCCTTCTGTCTTCAAAGTCAGCAACAAAAGATAAAATTAGTCACAGTCTGCCCTACTTTCCTGCCTTCTTCTTCCACCGTTAATGATTACATTATGTCTACCTGGGGAATCCAGGATAATCTCATTTTAAGGTCAATTGATTGGCAACCTTAATTTCATCTTCAACCTTAATTCCCTTTTGCATGTAAAGTAATGTATTTATAAGTCCTCGGACCAAAGAGATAAAAATCTTTGAGGGACTGTTATTTTGCTTAGCAAAACTAGTAAGCCATAAAATTTATAAAAACAATTCAAAGATAGATTAATTATAAATAGATGGCAGTATGATAAAGAGCTCACAGATAATAAATTCAGTGGTAGGCATTGCAATGTTGAAAATATCACAGTTGTTCCTGTTCATGTGTAGTTGACCTTCTATCCATGGGATTCCTATCCTCAGATTTAACTAAGGGTCAAATCATTTAGAAGACCAGTAGGTGATGTGGTGATTATGGTGCTCAATCCCACATGGCTAATTCCAGGTTCAAGTCCTAAACACTACAGCTTGAAAATCATGCTGGGCGCTTGTGTGTGCATGCCCAAAACCCCAAGGAGAGTGGAGGAGAAGGGATTGAGGCATGGCTCTACTCCCATAGGGGGATGATTTCTCACTTTTCCTCTCTCTCTCTCTCATGCACGAACATACATGCCCTATAGCAAAAACCTAAAAAAAAAAAAAAGGTTAAATCTGTACTAAATGTGTATAGCCTTTATTTTTCTTGTCAGTATTTCCTAAACAACACAGTATAACAACTATTTACACAGTATTTGCTTTGTATTAGGTATTATAAGTAATGTAGAGATGATTTATAATGTATGAGAGTGTGAAAGTGTTTCAAAATCAAAATAGAGTTATTTGTGTCAATTTGTGTTAACTCCTGACTAAACTGAGTTGTCATTAAAGGTGTTTTCTCATGCCTTTTTGCCTGATAACAAGAACTATTATTTAAAGAACTGTGTGAAAACAAACTTGCAGAAAGACCACTACAAGGATCACTTCTGCAAAAACATCTGCTCAGAGACTGTATATCAATCTTGGATTTATTATCTATCCAGGTAGTCAAGGATAATTTTTCCAAAACTGTTAGTACAATCCCTTCTCCCCTTTCTCCCTTCACCTGCTTTCTGTGGTTTGTGCCTTTAAAACCTGCCGGAGGATTCTTAGACCTCATGGCACTTACTCAAGGTTGCTTGAGTCTATGTCTTCCCTAGACACAGTCTCACAACTATTTATCTTAGAATAAACCTTTTTAAATATTTACAGCTTGGCTATTTCTGTCTAAAGGAAGATTATGTAGGTAATATTCAAATACTATGCCATTTTTTACAAGGGGTTTGAGCATCTGTGGATTTCAGTATGTTTGGAGGTGGGGAGAGTGGATCCTGGAATCAATCACTTGTAGATCCTGAAGGATGGCCATGTATTATCCCATTTCACATTTATAGTCAAGATAAGACATGTTTATTATTTTACATGAAAATTCTACCTCCTGAGTTGATGTCATGCCGTTACAACTCCGGAAACGGCTGCCATTCTAAGACTCAGGGAATGCTCTTAATGGAGATTTTGTCCTTTCTCAGGTCCAACAGTTGCATGCTATACAGTGAATTGTGGCCTTCCAATTTTTATAGAGTTAATCTTACTTTACACAATTAAGGGCAGGCCCGCAGCACCTGCCTAGATTAAGTCTGCTTGCTGCCACTCTCCCAGCTTCCTCCTGCTGCATACTTCGAGTTTAGCACCGTGGATTTTGAACCCACGAATTTAGATCCCAGACCTCTGTTGCCCATACAATCGTAATTCTAGAAGCTGCTGATAACCTGTTCACCAACAGATTTGTTGTTCTGATTTCCAAGACTTAATGTAACCAGTTTCCCAAGAAATTCTCTCATGAATCATTTCTAAGCATTTAGTTTCATTAATTTCTATTTATTAATGCTTATCTCGTAAGTGAGTTCTAGGCATTTAGCTTCATGAATTTCTATTTATTAATGCTTATCTCGTAAGCATTACAGACAGCATCTTCGTCATTCAGCTCCCTGCCACAAGTTTTTGTAGTTGTTGTTACTCATGCCATAGAGTATACGTCAAATGTTTAATCAGTAGCATAATTTTTCACCATATAGTCATCGAACCTTAACAATGAGCCAGAATCTAGTCTACAAAAATACATTACTGACTAAATTTTAAAACATAAGGTTGTATTGATTTGCTACTTCATAGTAAATAGCATATCAGGAAAATGTATGATTTCTGTTCTAATTGACCTGGGAGACTAACAGAAAAAGCAAGTATTAAACAAAAAAATATTTAATAACAATAACATGCTATGATTTAGAAATTCTTGATATTAAAATGTCATACATCAAGGAATCCTCACCTAGTCTTAGCTGTCCGAATAAGTTTTCTAGAAGAATAGCATTTGAAATTGGTTTAAAGAATAAGCAGGAGGTATGTAGGTGGAATTTGGGACAGTATTTTTAGGACCAAAGTTCTGAGATGTGCATTATAAGACTGAAAGCCATTATTAGGCGATCGTTGAGTGAAAAGGGAAAAAAAAATGACTTGAAATTAGGCCACAAAGGTATTTTGAAACCATTCTCAGCAGTTCTTTAGAGACCTTATTCAAGACTGTAGACTCTCTTCCTAAAGTAACAAGAAATCTTTGAATAATTTTAAGGAAAGGTATGAGATTGCTTGACTTGACTCTTAAAATAATCTTTCAAAATATTCAATTAGTGTTTACATATGACAAAATGAACAGATATAAAGGGAAGTGTTCAATATTTTTGACAAGTATACA